AAAGGTCGTATGTTAGGCCCCAAGCAATTTTCCATACATTTAAAAAGGTTGAAATCATGAAAAGTATATTCTCTAACCACAACAGAATGAAACTACAAATAACAGAAGGAAGATAAAAAAATTCAAAAATATGTGGAAATTAAACAACATGCTCTAAAACAACCAAGGAGTCAAAGAAGAAATCAAAAAGGAAGCTAAACACTTTGGGCTGGGTGTGGTGTCTCACACCTGTCATCCCAGCACTTTGGTAAGCTGAGGTGGGAGAACTGCTTCAGCTCAGGAGTTTGAGCCCAGCTTGGGCACCAAAGCAAGACCTTGTCTCTACTAAAAAAAGAAAAAAAATCAACCAGGCGTGGTGGCATTTGCCTGTAGTCCCAGCTATTTGGGAGGCTGAGGTAGGAGGATCACTTGAGCCCTGGATATCAAGGCTATAGTGAGCTGTGATCATGCCATCGCACTTCACCCAGGGCAACAGAGAACGATTCTGTCTCAAAAATAAATAAATAGATAAAATAAAATACTTTGAGACAAATGAACACAAAAATACAACATACCAAAATCTACAGGATGTAGCAAAAGCAGTGTTCCAAGGAAAAATTATAGCTGTAGACACCTTCATTAAAAAAGAAGAAATACCTCAAATCAATAAACTACTCTTTTACCCCCAAATGGCTGTGAAATTTGTTTGCTTAATGAATAATGGTCCTGACAAAAATCAGGAACCAACACTGAGAGATTTATAATGAAACACCAACTTTAAATATTCATGACCCCTCGATAGAAATTAGAGTTTACACAAACAAAAAAAGAAACTTTCGATATTGTCAGCCAATATAAAATGAATGTAATATGACTGACAGGTCGGCAAAAAGGCATTTATACATTTTTCTCTAACATCTGGCCATAGTTTCAGTTGCCATAATATCTTCTCTCCAGATAAAAATAGTATGCTGATTTCTATAGCAAAGATTTTCTTGTACAAAAATCAAACAATGGATAAGTCACAACCGTAAAATATATATAGGATTAAAATAACACATCAAACAGATTCTGAAACTAAATAACAACTAGGAGGAGGACAGAGCCCTTGCAGAGGGCTTGTTTTCATCCACTTGAATGTGTGTGGGGTTTGTCTTCTGAACCACAAGTTCTGACTTATCTCATAAAAGCCATTTAGTCTGACCAAACTTCTAAATAAACACACAAAACACTTCTAATATTAAACATTGAAATAAATGTCGGCTATACATTCGAGAAAGATTAATAAAAGACTAATATTTATTAATAAGATTAATAAGATAATAATCTACCGACTCATTCCAGTTCAGCATCGCGGATGGTCAGAATCTTTCCTGGTGCAAAAGGAAAAGATGACATCCCTTTGTGGGGTATACACTCATACACACACCCATGCTCACTCAGACTAGGACGATGTAGACACGCCAAACAACCTAACCGGCACATCTTTGGAATTGGGAAGGAAATCGCAGTACCTGGAGGAAATCCACACAGACATGGGAAGAAGGGGCAAACTCCACACACAAAGTGATCTTGGGGCCAGGCGCGGTGGCTCATGCCTGTAATCCCAGCACTTTGGGAGGCCGAGGAGGGCGGATCATGAGGTCAGGAGTTCAAGACCAGCCTGGCCAACATGGTGAAATCCCGTCTCAACTAAAAATACAAAAATTAGCTGGGCGTGGTGGTGCGCGCCTGTAATCCCAGCTACTTGGGAGGCTGAGGCAGGAGAATTGCTTGAACTAGAACCTGGGAGGGGGAGGTTGCAGTGAGCTGAGAACCCACCACTGCACTACAGAGCCTGGGCTACAGAGGGAGACTCTGTCTCAAAAAAAAGCAGAAAGTCGCCTTAGGCAGGAATGGATTTTTTTTTTTCTCATCAATGTTATAACAAAACCACATTGAACAAAATGATCTTATTAGAGAATCTGCTGTACTTAATATTGTTAAGGTGTCAATTGATTCCCCAGATGTATCTAAAAATACAATTCAATCCCTATAAAAATTCCAACTGCTTGTACTTATTTATTTGCAGAAATGGACAAGCCCAATTCTAAATATTCACATGGAACAGCAAGGGACCTTAAGTACCTAAAACAATTTTGAAAAAGAAGAACGATGTTGGAGGACTCATACTTCCCAGTCTTTTTTTTTTTTTTTGGTAGATGGAGTCTCTGTTGCCCAGGCTGGAGTGCCATGGCATAATCTCAGCTCACTGCAAACCTCGCCTCCCGGGTTCAAGTCATTCTCCTGCCTCAGTCTCCCAAGTAGCTGGAACTACGGGCACGCACCGCAAAGCCTGGCGAATTTTTGTATTTTTAGTAGAGACTAGGTTTCGCCATGTTAGCCAGGCTGGTCTTGAACTCCTGATCTCAGGTGATCTGCCCACCTCAGCTTCCCAAAGTGCTGGGATTACAGGCCTGAGCCCTCGCGCCCAGCCATGTTTATGGCTTCATCAGCTTTAGAAGTTTGTAATTTGTACTTATTTATTCATTCCAAATAAGTATTAATTTTCATTTCTAATTTTATATTTACAAATTCTATTACTGTGCTTCTGTTTAACATTCTACAGGTTGTGTAAGTTTCGAGCTCAACAATCCCTGAATGCACCTTGAATCAATGAGTCTCAGGACATAACGTTGAGTGTAAAAAGCAATTTGCAGAAAAATATATCCTCCATAATCCATACACAGAGTTAAAAAGCATGTAAAACTTATATGTTGTTTACAGACAAAAACAAATGTGGGAGGATGATAAGGCCCACAGAGGGCTTCAGGGGCAGGAGGAAATTATGACTTTTGTGGGCTCTGGGCACACGTGACCTTCATGGCACTTTTCTCCATTAAAAAAAAAATGATAAAAATTATATTTTATGGCCGGGTGCGGTGGCTCACGCCTGTAATCCCAGCACTTTGGGAGGCCGAGGCGGGCGAATCACGAGGTCAGGAGATTGAGACCATCCTGGTTAACATGGTGAAACCCCTTCTCTACTAAAAACACAAAAAATTAGCCGGGCGTGGTGGCGGCACCTGTAGTCCCAGCTACTCGGGAGGCTGAGGCAGGAAAACGGCGTGAACCCGGGAGGCGGAGCTTGCAGTGAGCCGAGATGGCGCCACCGCACTCCAGCCTGGGCGACAGAGCGAGACTCCGTCTCAAAAAAAAAAATTATATTTTATGACTGTGTTGGTATAAGGCTGCGTTGGTATATTAGTGTTATATGGTAAAACAATTAAAGTATGTTCAAAATATTTGACAGGATGAAGAATAACTAGAAAAGAGGAAAATAACGGTCAACGCGTGCTGCTCCCTGGACGGTTAAATTTGCATAACGGCCACCACGCCCTTCCAACAAGCCACGCCCCCTTCCCAGAATCTTCCTTTGCCTGGGGCCGTTCCCGCAGTGTTCCCCCGGGCTTGCTCCTCATTTTCAGTCCAGGGTTCTCCTCGGTAAGGCTGTATCTGACCCACTTTTCCTAAAAGAGGCCCATCTCGGCCTCTTTTCTTTATCACCTGGGTCACTACGAATTGTTTAATTTCCCTGTCTCCTCTATTCACTGTAAGATGGTGACGCTGCATCATCCGGGTCAGTAGTAGGCGTTACTAAAAGAGGGTAGGGGCCGGGCGCGGTGGCTCACGCCTGTAATTCCAGCACTTTGGGAGGCCGAGGCGGGGCGGATCACTTGAGGTTGGGAGTTTGAGACCATCCTGGCCAACATGGTGAAACCCCGTCTCTACTAAAAACGTAAACATTAGACGGGTGTAATCCCAGCTACTAGGGAGGCTGACGCAGGAGAATTGCTTGAACCCAGGAGGCGGAGGTTGCAGTGAGCCGAGATTGCGCCACTGCACTTTGTTATTTTACTTTTTTATTTATTTATAGACTTTTCTGAGACAGGGTCTTGCTTTGTTCCCCAGCCTGGAGTGTAGTGGCACAGTCACGGCTCGCTACAGTCCCGATCTCCTGGGCTTAATGGATCCTCCCGCCTCAGCCTCCCAAGAAGCTGGGCCCACAGGTGCTCATTTTTTTTTTTTTTTTCTCCTGAGAATCTCGCTCCTTTGCCCAGGCTGGAGTGCAGTGGCGCGATCTCGGCTTATAGCAACCTCTGCCTCCCGGGTTCAAGCCATTCTCATGCCTCAGCCTCCTGAGTAGCTGGGATTACAGGCACCCGCCACCACGCCCAGGTAATTTTTTTTATTTTCAGTACAGACGGAGTTTCACCATGTTGGTCTGCCTGGTCTCGAACTCCTGGTCTCAGGTGATCCGCCCGCCTCGGCCTCCCGAGGTGCTGGGATTACAGGCGTGAGCCACCGCGCCCGGTCTCGGTGGCTAAATTTTAACTTTTTTTGTTTTTGTAGACACGGGTGTCTCGCTACGTTGCACAGGCCGGTCTCTCTGAACTCCGGGCTCAAGCGAGCCTCCCGCCTGGGCCTCCCAAAGCGGTGGGATTGGAAGCGGGAGCCACCGCGCCGCCGTGGGATTTACTCTGCTGTGTTGCGCATCGCGCGCGTTGTTCGCAAGACCTAAGGACTCCCTTTCTGTAGCAGAGAAGATATACATATGTTCCTCCGAAATTACACGTTTCCATAATTTACATTTTAGGTCTTTAAAGCTAAAGAGAAAAATTACTTCGTCACCGTAGTACATCCGCTGAGACACCTGAGGCGTGGACAAAAGCAGAAACAGGAACGGAAATGGCCAGCAGGTAGGGGCTGACCCCACCCGCGGCGCGGCTCATCCCGGAGTCGCCCCGCCCGCGGGAAGCCCGGGGCGGGGCCGAGGTCAAGGTTCCGCGGCAAACTCTCCCCGTCCACTCTGACGGGGACTCGGGATTGGTCGGGCCGCAGCTGTCCGGACGTGACGCCAGCGCCCGGCGTGGGCGGTGCACGGCGGGTGCTCTTCCCATGCCCCGCCCACTGAGGGCACAGAAATCTGAAAGCAGCAGCCGGGGCGGGGCCTGCGGCCGGCCGACTTGGTGCGGGGGGCGGGGCCTACTCGCGACAACGGCTGGTTGGTAGCTGCGGCTGCGGGCCCGCACTTCCGCCGGTGGCCGAGAGCAGGGCCCGGCATGGAGGTGGGCTAGAGGCCGAGGCCAGGCAGAGCGCGGTGAGGGGAGCGGCGGGCTGGAAGCTGCAGGCCGGGCGGGCGTGAGCGTAGACGCGGCCTGTGCTTGCAGGGCCGCGTCGGGGAACCATCGCTGCGCGTAGGTCCCGGTGGGCGGATGTGGGAAGAGTCGGCGCGGGCTTGGCCGCTTCCCTCGGCGCGGGGGCGGGAGCACCCCTTGACGGCTAGCGGCCGCCTGTTGCCTTCCTGCGCGCTGGACCCGGCCGCTGCGACCGCCTTTCCTTCCGTTGTTTACAGTGCGGTCTCGTGTGAGCTGTTTTTTGATGTGGCCACTGCGTAGTTTCCTTGGGACTGAGCGGGAGGTCCCGGGGTGGAAAGTGTGGGTCCCCTCCATACCCTCGCCTACCTCCCGCCTGGAGTCCCTCCGTTTGTTGTTTTTTCTTTTATTTTCTCTTTTTTTTTTTTTTTTTTTTTTGAGACAGAGTCTCGCTCTTGTCACCCAGGCTGAATTGCAGTGGAGCAGTCACGGCTCGCTGCAACCTCGACTTCCTGGGCTCCAGCGATCCATCCGCCTCATCCCCCCCCCCCCCCTCCCCCCCGCCCCGGGTAGCTGGGGCCACAGGCGCCAGCCACCACACCCGGCTAATTAAAAAAAAAGTATATGTTGCAGAGACAGGGCCTGACTGTGTTGCCCAGGCTGGAGTCAGCTACTCCAGGGACCTTCCGAGGCTTTGCACCCAACCGGTCCCTTGGTTTGAAGGAGAGTCTGTTTCTCCCACTTGGAGGGGCTGGAGATTTTGCTGCTGGCGACAGGGCTTTGTGCGTCCTCCCCAACTTCTGGGATCTACCGATGTGCCCAGAAATTTGCATGACCCAAGTGAAACGGGGATGACTGCCTTGAGGGAAAGGAGCTCCACAAGGAGAAGGCCGAGTGTGGTATTTGATAAGTGATACAGCTGAGGATCCTAGGATTGATGTTACCTGTGCTGGCTAGTAACTTGGATTTTTGGTTCAGTACCTAGCTATCCCTGTGAGGGCGGATAGCCCCCTGTGGAACTGGGAGTCAGAATTGCAGTTCTGCTGTTACCTAGAAGTCCACAGCCAAGTTGTCTAACCTATCGGGGCTTCCTCATCAGCCAGCGGTATCTGTCTGTAATAGGATTGATACCAGGCTCAGATGAGATAGAGTATAAATACCACTTAACAATTTTGTTTTTTGTTTTTTAATTTCAGAGATGTTCTTCTGGGGCCAGAGTCTGGGCATATATGAATGCAAATCCGTGTTTGTTCACAACTAAGCCCAGCTGAGACGATCACTTTTCTGTAGGCCATTTGCCCAGGTAATAATTTTTTTTGTTTTTAACAGGAGTTCAGAGGGCCAAGGTAAGTGTAATGATGGAAACGTGTGCAGAGTCCTGAAGGGATGGAGAAGGTCATCAGAGACAGACTGGAAGAGAGGACAGGTCGGACAGGCCCCCCAGACGTGATGACACTCAGGGAGGGCTTGCACACTGGTTGTTATCAAATCCAGCTTTCTCTTGGAATCTTAGTGGAGTTCTTTAAAAGGGAAATAATTTTATCCACAGGATCTTTTCTACTTTTTTTTTAAGTTCCTGAGGTAAGTCTGATGTGCGTTCACAGTTAAGAACCAGGTAGAGGTAGGAGGATGGGTTTTCAAGGCAAATGGAAGAGCTTCGCTGAAGGCAGGGAGTACCAGTCACCATGAATGGTTTTAGGAAGAGCAAGTGAAAGGAGGTAAGTGTGGAGGAAAGAGATGATGTGGAAGCTGGATCATCGCGGGCCTTGTGTGTATTGAGCTCAACAATTTGAATTTTATCCAAACATTGGAGGAAGAGTCATTGTGCTTTCGAAGTCCAGTTTGGGGCTTTGGCCTCTGGCAGCATTTTGCAGGAGGAATTGGTGGCGATCAAACAAGAGACGGATCGTTTAGGCTTCTTCAGTAATCCAGGCAAATGATGAAAATGTATTGAACTAAGGCAGTGGCGGTTGCACTGAGAAGAAAGTAGAGAAGTAATTAAGGGGTAGGCTCTAGAGCTCAGAGATTGCGGCTGAGGGAGAAGGATTGTATAGGGTAATTCCTAGGTTACTGATTTGAAAATTGAATGGATGGTAATGTCATCAACAAGGGAATATAGAACAAATAACAGATTCAAGGGAAGGACTTCGTTGGGTTCTGGTCATGTTTACTTTGAGGTGCCCCTCAGACACCTGAGTAGAGATACACTGTATGCAGTTGGATATTGAATGTATCTGTCTGGAGTTCTAGGCTAGGCTGTCAGTTATTGAGTAGGTGGAACACAGCGCATCATTGCATTAAGTTTTGTTTTTTTTTTTTTGAGACGGAGTCTTGCTCTGTTGCCAGGTTGGAGTGCAGTGGTGCCATCTTGGCTCACTGCAACCTCCGCCTCCCGGGTTCAAGCAATTCTTCTGCCTCAGCCTCCCCAGTAGCTGGGACTACAGGTGTGTGCCACCATGCCCAGCTAATTTTTGTATTTTTAGTAGAGACGGGGTTTCACCATATTGGCCAGGATGGCCTCGATCTCTTGACCTCGAGTTCCTGCCCACCTCAGCCTCCCAAAGTGTTGGGATTACAGGTGTGAGCCACCGCACCCTACCTGCGTTAAGTTTTACAATACATTCTCAGTCTTTGGGCAGCTTCAATCTAGGCAGTAGTTGAAGCAGTGGTTTGAAGTAGGTCACCCAGAAAGAGTACTGAGTGAAGAGGTGAGAATTCTCAGGACAAGCCTTCGAAAACTTTAGTATTTATATGAGTAACAAAGGCAGGGGTAATTATGAAGGAGATTGGGTAGAAGTGGTGTCCAAAAAATGGTGTGTTGTGGGTAAGGAAAGCATGTGCAGCATTTTCATATGCTTTAGCAGAGTCAAGTAAGGAACCTGTTGGATTGGTAATGTAGAGATTGCTAGGGACCTGAAATTCAGTGGAGTATAAGGGTAGAAGCCAGAGTGCAAAGGAGCTGAAGTGGGAGGTAGTGAATCTAAACTTCCGGATGTTTAACTGAGAAGTGTATTTGAAGTTTCTGGCTAATATTGAGAAATGGATAGCCTAAGGATAAGTCTGTAGAAAGTTACAGTTATACCTGTGGTGAAGCATCCTATATTTTTGGTTTTGACACATTACCTCTCTTTTTGGTGGGTGCTCAGAGAGTTGCTTTAATTTTGGTTTTGCTGGCCGGGCGCGGTGGCTCAAGCCTGTAATCCCAGCACTTTGGGAGGCCGAGACGGGTGGATCACGAGGTCAGGAGATCGAGACCATCCTGGCTAACACGGTGAAACCCCGTCTCTACTAAAAAAAATACAAAAAACTAGCCGGGCGAGGTGGCGGGCGCCTGTAGTCCCAGCTACTCGGGAGGCTGAGGCAGGAGAATGGCGTAAACCCGGGAGGCGGAGCTTGCAGTGAGCTGAGATCCGGCCACTGCGCTCCAGCCTGGGCGACAGAGCCAGACTCCATCTCAAAAAAAAAAAAAAAAAAAAAAAATTTTGGTTTTGCAGCTTGAGCATTGTCTGGACACACCCATTTGTCATTCAGTAATGATTCCAAGCGGTTACAGTCTGATGAAACTAACAAAATAGACCTCAAGAAGAACTGAGTTGTACAAAAGCTTAACAGGATTCACAGTAGTTTAGAAGCAATTATTTTCTCCCTAAAAGACAAAATATGCCCTATTGAGATTTCCTGGGCTTGGCCATTAGGCCAGTGATGATTTTAAGTTTGAAGACAAAAACCACACACACAGCCTTTTGAAGAAGAACTACGGAAGCGTATGTTCTCTTGGTGTGCCCTGCAGCAGTGTTCTCCATTATCTTCTAGATACCACGACACTCACCTATTTTGGTAGTAACTCCCATATGCTTTGAGAAAATTTAGTCTTGCTTTTTCCGTTGTGGAAATAGGCTCTTTTTCTGAGTGAACTAAAAAGTAAATTCTGTAATTTTCTTAATAGAAGGTTTCTTTTGTTGTCTCCTTTGTTAGTAAAGTACACAACATTAAGAGTTTCAAGTAAGGTAAGTGGGAAAAGAAGTACGTAACATTTTATTTGCATGGTAGTCCCACTTAAGGTTTTCAGATCTTAAATCGACTGCAGTCTGTTAGCTGCTGAGATCATGCTTAAAACGATGTTTGAGAAACCTCCTTGAAGTTTCACTTTCTGTTCTTATGTCTTCTAAGTTTGCTTTCCATGTCAAACTAGGTCGCCAGAAAAAAACCAGCTTCTGCAAGCTGTTAACTTACTAGTAGTGTGATATTAGCCTCTTAGGTATAAGTAATTCTTCTTTTGAATAAAACAGTTTTAAATTCTGCAGAAATATATTGAAGATCTTATCCCATGTTACTTGGCATTTCCTGGTCTGCAGTGCCCCTGTACTAGGAGGCCTTAATAAAATGTAATTGAATTAGAGTTAGTGTCAGGAAAGGGCGGTACTCTGCGGCTATCACTGCATACTCTTTTTCTCCCCAACTTCGATGAGAACTGTAACTCATGTTACCCTTTTCCTCTGCTTTCCGGAAGCTCCTAATGTAGAACTTAGTGAAATTAAATTCCTTCTAAAGAAGTTTTCATTTTGTTTTTTGAAATCTCATTTTTAAATGTCCTTTTGTGTATGTACTTTAATGTTGAAAGCTACCCTGAATTTTTTTTACAACCATGAAGAAAGCATACCCCTTCAAAAGCATAAGTAAAAGTAATATTTAATAAATTTTAAGAAATCAATTCATATGACAATGTATTTGCTTATGCATTTCTAAATAATTATTTAATTGTGGGTATAAGAAGAAATTAAAGAATTTTTAGAAATCACTTTATTTTAGGAACTAGCTTTATGCCACAGAAGCCTCAGCAGCCAAGCCTATTTTCTGTTGAGATGTTTTATTTTTCCTGTTGGTAAAGATTATGTATTCTTAAGTTTAGGGTGATGGTGATACTCAAAAATCTCACACTGCCACGTTTCCCTTCCCAGATACCTGATGTCTTCACTTAGGTTTTTTTTTTTTTTTTGGAGACAGAATTTCATTCTTTTTTTTTTTTTTTTTTTTTGAGACGGAGTCTTGCTGTGTCTCCCCAGGCTGGAGTGCAGTGGCGCAGTCTTGGCTCACTCCCACCTCTGCCTCCCAGGTTCAAGCGATAGTCCTGCCTCAGCCTCCCAAGTAGCGGAATTGCAGATGCGCACCAACAGCTAATTTTTGTATTTTTTTTAGTAGCGATAGGGTTTCACCATGTTGGCCAGGCTGGTCTCGCACTGCTGACCTCAAGCAAGCCCACCTCGGCCTTCCAAAATGCTGGGATTGCAGGTGTGAGCCACTGCCTTACTTAGGTGTTTTAAGCTCCTTCTAACCTTCTTTCTCCCTGAATGGAGAAGTTGTTTTTTTTTTTTTTTTTTGAGACGGCGAGTCTTGCTCTTAGCCCAGGCTGGAGTGCAGTAGCCGATCTCAGCTCACTGCAAGCTTCCGCTCCGGTTGCGCCATTCTGACTCGCCTCAGCCTAAAATCGGAGTATGCCTGGAGCATACAGCGCCGCACCGTTCGCCCGGCTAGTGTTTTTTTGTATTTTTAGTAGAGACGGGGTTTCCCCTGTTAAGCAGGATGGTCTCGATCTCCTGACCTCGTGATCCGCCCGTCTCGGCCTCCCAAAGTGCTGGGATTACAGGCTTGAGCCACCGCGCCCGGCTGAATGGAGAGTTTTTAAACATTTTTAAAAACTGCCCTCCTGTGAATTTTAATACTACCAATATATTGTGTCTTTCTTTATGTACTATCTGTTTATCTGAGCTTTATATCTGAAAGAGGAGGACTTTTTCACGTCCCACTAACTAGTTTTAGATCTCTCTGAGGGTGACATCACTCCTGGTGAGGATGCATGAGCTAGGTCCTTTCAGTTTATGAAATGAACTTAAGTTCATACTTGGTAACTTTTTTCCCCACTCCAAAATCTGTACTTTGAAAATGTTGATAAGTCTGGGTCTCTGTATATTTTCTATCAGTACTGTGTAGTTTTGAGCCTTCTCTGTAGCACAACTTTATGTTGCCTTATGATACTTACTCCTTTTATAATGCTTTCATTTTTCTGAATTTTTCATATGTCAACAATGGAAGGGTTTTTTTTTTTTTTAGTTTAGTGAGTTCAGTGATTGATAAGCCAGCCAGCAGAAGATTTGGGCTTTAGTGACACATTTTAAATTGAAACCAGGGTCACAAGTTGGAAGTGTACCTGTTCTTGACACACAGACGGTCTGAAGTTGGTTTTCTTCTTGATGTCGTTTTCTTCTTGATGTCGTCTTTTCTGGCTGTAGGTACAGAATGAGCACATGTTGTTGGTGTACTCCAGGTGGTGGTTCCACCGTTGACTTCCTAAAGCGCTATGCTTCCAACACTCCATCCAGTGAATTTCAAACAGCTGACGAAGATCTCTGCTACTGCTTAGAGTGTGTGGCAGAATACCACAAAGCAAGAGATGAATTGCCATTCTTGCATGAGGTAATTTATATCAGATGGGCAATATTTTTCAGAGCATGACAGCTAGGAAGAGAATAAGTTTGAATTCTGTTGTATATTCAGAGAAATGATGATATGATTGCAACTTTGTGGGGTTTTTGTTTTTTTTTTTTTTTTTTTTTTTTTGGAGACACTGTCTTGCTCTGTAGCCCAACTGGAGTGCAACGGCGCCATCTCTGCTTACTGCCGCCTTCCGGGTTTACGCCATTCTCCTGCCTCAGCCTCCCGAGTAGCTGGGACTACAGGCGCCTGCCACCTCGCCCGGCTAAGTTTTTGTATTTTTAGTAGAGACGGGGTTTCACTGTGTTAGCCAGAATGGTCTCGATCTCCTGACCTCGTGATCCGCCCGCCTCAGCCTCCTGAGTAGCTGGGATTACAGGCTTGAGCCACCGCGCCCGGCCTGTTTGTTTTTATTGTTAGAGATGGAGTCTCACTCTGTCACTCAGACTGGAGTGCAGTGGAGCGATTATACATATATCATTTTACACATTTGAGTATATTCTTAGGACAAATTCCTGAAAGTGAAAGTGTTGCTCATGATTTTCCATGGGCCACATGGGTTTTCATAGTTTGTTTTGCTAAGTTTTGGAGACAAGGTCTTTGCTCTGTTGCCGAGGCTGGAAGTGCAGTGGTGAGATCACGGTTCACTGCAGCCTCAGCCTTCTTGACTCAAGCCATCCTCCCATCTCATCCTCCTGAGTAGTTGGGACTACAGGCATGTGCCACCATGCTCTGCTAATTTTAAAAATTTTTTTGTAGAAACGAGGTCTTACTATTTTGCCCAGGCTGGTCCTGAACTCCTGAGCTCAAGTGATCCTCCCGCCTTGGCCCCCTAGTGTTGGAATTACAGGCATGAGCCACCATTCCTGGCTGACTTTGAAGGCTAATATAAGTCAAGTACCTAACTCATTGCCTGGTACATAGTAGGTGCTGAGTAAATGTTTATCACTGATGGAATTGAAACCTGGATCAGAATTTTATGATCTGTCACTTTTAGTCACATTGGTATAAAATAATTTAATGAAATAGAGTCATCGGGAGGGGATTTGTTTCATAATTTTTTGGTCAGTGCTATAATACATGCATGTATCTGAATGGCCTGCGTTTTTGTTAATGGTTTTTCCTTTTTTTTTCTTTTTGAGACAGAGTCTCACTCTGTTGCCCAGGCTGGAGTGCAGTTGTGCGATCTTGGCTCACTTCATCCTCTGCCTCCCGGGTGGGTTCAAGTGATTCTCCTGCCTCTGCCTCCCGAGTAGCTGGGACTACAGGCACGTGCCACCACACCCGGCTAATTTTTTATTTTTAGTAGAGATGGGGTTTTACCATGTTGACCCAAACTCCTGACCTCAGGTGATCTGCCCACCTCGGCTTCCCAAAGTGCTGGGATTACAGCTGTAAGCCACTGCGCCCGGCCAGGGTTTTTTTTTTTTTTTTAATTGGTAATAATAACTTCTTTTTTTTTCTTTTTTTAATGGGCAAATGGCATAAACCTCTAAGGGCAAGCATATTTTCCAGTCATAATAACCAAAGTGAAAGATACAATTCTAAATATTTGGCTTTGAATATTTGGTTTATTTATTTGATGAAAAACAGAACGTAGACCATAGAGATATGTGCAGTATATAGAGGAGAGCATGATTACTAATGGATTGGTGTTGAGAAACGTGCATTTTGTAAGGTTTTCTAATTATGAAGCTATCCAGCGTCTTTATACTACAAGCTGTGCTAAGGTAGTTAGCTATGGCTAGAACGTAGAAGGGAAGACGTAGAAGGGCCTCGGTTTTGCGTTTAACAGCTTCTCTCTCTCTTTTTTTTTTTTTTTTGAATATAGTTGATAGGGATGCTGAGATATTTATAGAAAAATTCTACAGGAGAAGTGTTTAAGGCCTGGCGCTGTGGCTTATGCCCGTAATCCCAGCACTTTGGGAGGCCGAGGCAGGCAGATCATGAGGTCAGCAATTCGAGACCAGCCTGGCCAACATGGTGAAACTCCGTCTCTACTAAAAATACAAAAATTAGCCAGGTGCAGTGACGGGCGCCTATAATCCCAGCTACTCAGGAGGCTGAAGTAGGAGAATCGCTTGAACCCGGGAGGCCAAGGTTGAGGTCAGCTGAAACCGCATCATTGCACTCCAGCCTGGGCGACAGGGCAAGACTCTGTTTCAAAAAAAAAATTTGTTCAAACATCCCATACTACTTTTTTTTTTTTCTTTTTTTGGGGCGGAGTCTCGCTCTGTCGCCCAGGCTGGAGTGCAGTGGCCGGATCTCGGCTCACTGCAAGCTCCGCCTCCCGGGTTCCCGCCATTCTCCTGCCTCAGCCTCCCGAGTAGCTGGGACTACAGGCGCCGCCACCACGCCTGGCTAATTTTTTTTTGTATTTTTAGTAGAGACGGGGTTTCACTGTGTTAGCCAGGATGGTCTCGATCTCCTGACCTCGTGATCCGCCCGTCTCGGCCTCCCAAAGTGCTGGGATTACAGGCTTGAGCCACCGCGCCCGGCCCTACTTTTTGTTTTTTTGTTGTTTTTTTTGTGTTTGTTTGGTTTTTTGTTTGAGAGGGAGTTGAGCTGTTGTTGCCCAGGGTGGAGTGCAATGGCGCGATCTCTGCTCACTGCAACCTCTGCCTCCTGGGTTCAAGCGATTCTCCTGCTTCAGCCACCCGAGTATGGGATTACAGGCATGCACCACCACGTCTGGCTATTTTTGTATTTTTAGTAGAGACGAGGTTCCTCCATGTTGGTCAGGGTGGTCCCGAACTCCTGACCTCAGGTGATCCGCCCACCTCAGCCTCTCAAAGTGCTGGGATTACAGGTGTGAGCCACCGCACCTGGGCTGTTTTCTTTTTCTCTTAGAGACAGGGTGTCCCTCTGTCATCCAGGCTGGAGTACAGTGGCACAATCATAGCTCACTGTAGCTTCAGATTCTTGGGCTCAAGTGATCCTTCTGCCTTAGCCTCCAGAGTAGCTGGGACTGTAGGCATGCACCACACCTAGGTAATTTTTCTATAATTTTTTGTTGTTGTTGTTAGTGACAGGGTCTTTCTTTGCTACCCAGACTGGTCTCGAACTCCTGGCCTAAAACAGTCCTCCTACTGCAGCCTTCCAAAATGCTGGGATTACAGGTGTGAGCCACTGTGCCTGGCCAGCATCTCATACTGTGTATACTCATTTTTCATAAAAGTGGCCACATTTAAATAGTTTTCTTTCAATCTAAAATACAATCTCTAATACTTTACATTTCAGAATTTTTGTACTTAGGAAAAGGCTTTCTGGGTGATCACATTCAGTGTATTTTGTTGATGATAAGACATAACGCACACTGCCCATTTATTTTCCTTCAGGTTTTATGGGAATTGGAAACCTTACGTCTGATAAATCACTTTGAAAAATCCATGAAGGCAGAAATTGGAGATGATGATGAGTTATATATAGTAGACAACAATGGAGAGATGCCACTGTTTGACATCACTGGACAAGACTTTGAAAATAAGCTTCGAGTTCCTCTTCTTGAAATACTGAAATATCCTTATTTGCTTCTACATGAACGTGTTAGTGAGTATCTTGATGGTTCCTCAAGTTATTTCAGTTTTATTATTTTAGTATCATAAGAATTTAGGCTTATTGCAAATTTGTTTGCTAAACTTAGGATAAATAATTAGGACTTCATTTTTTTCCAACATTTTTGATTTTTTGAGTTCAAACACAGAATATCTGTTTTTAGGGGCACAGTCAGAAGGCAACTGAAGTTTTTTTTTTTTTTTTTTTTTTTTAGAGACAGGGTGTTGCTCTGTCTCCTAGGCTGAAGTGCAGTGGCGCAGTCATGGCACCCTGCAGCCTCTACCCCCTGGGCTCAAGTAATATTCCTGCCTGAGCCTTGTGGGTAGCTGGGAGTACAGGTGTGTGCCATTGCGTCCAGCTAATTTTATGTTGTATCTATTGTAGAGATGAAGTTTGACTGTGTTGCCCAGGCTGGTGTTGAACTCCTGGGCTCAAGCAGTCCTCCCACCTCAGCTTCGCAAATTGCTGGGATTATAGGGCTAAGCCACTATGCCTGGCTCCCAACATTTTGTTGTGAAATTTTTTTAACATAGAAAAGTAAATTATAGAGTGAACAGCATATACCCATCACATAGATTATACGGTTGTTAACATTTTGCTATATTTGCTTTATTACGTATCTGTTCATCTATTTGTTTAATTATTAATAATTTTCATTCTTGCCGGGCATGGTGGCTCACACCTGTAATCCCAACACTTTGGGAGGCTTAGGCGGGCGGATCACCTGAGGTCAGGAGTTTGAGACCAGCCTTGCTAACATAGTGAAACCCCATCTCTACTAAAAATAGAAAAATTAGCCAGGTGTGGTGGCAGGCACCTGTAATCCCAGCTACTCAGGAGGCTGAGGCAGGAGAATCACTTGAACCTGGAAGGCGGAGGTTGCAGTGAAGCAAGATTGTGCCACTGCACTCCAGCCTAGGTGACAGAGGGAGACTCTGTCTTAAAAAATAGTAATAATAATAATAATAATTTTCATTCTTGTAATTTATCTGTGGCGGGGTTCTCAGCCTTGCACTGGTGACATTTTGGGTAATCCTTTGCTGTGGGGCTCTGTCATCCATTGTGGGATGGGTAGCAGTATCCCTGGCCTCTGTCTACTAAATGCCGGTAGCACTCCCTGTCTCCTTTGTGACAACCAAAAATATCTCCAGACGTTGCTGAATATCCCTTTTGGCGGGGTAAGGTATAAAATTACCCCTGGTTGGGAAATGCTATTCTGTAGTAATTTTCGTTAACCACCATGGCATGGCTTATTATAGCTGTCTAGATTTTGGTTGTTGATATTTGTAGTTCATAATATGAATCTCTTGAAAGTAAAGACATTTCCCTAACCTATCAAATCTAACAATACCTTTTTTTTTTTTTTTTTAAGAGTCTCACTGTCACCCAGGCTGGAGTGCAATGGCACGATCCTGGCTCATGACACCCTCTGCCTCCTGGATTTAAGCGATTCTCCTGTCTCAGCCTCCTAAGTAGCTGGGATTACAGGCGCCTGCCAATTACACCTGGCTAATTTTTTGTATTTTTAGTAGAGACAGAGTTTCGCCATGTTGGCCAGGCTAGTCTCAATCTCCTGACCTCAAGCGATCTGCCCACCTCGGCCTCCTAAAGTGCTGAGATTATAGGTGTGAGCCAGCAGGCCTGGCCCAAAATAACAATACTAAAATCTAGTTCATTTTCATATTTTCCCAATAGTTGCAAAATGTGTTTTTGGCTGATTTGCTTAAATTAGAATCTAGTCAGGGACCACACAGTGCATTTGGTACATAGTTCTTTTAATTCAAAACAGTCCTTCTCGGCCTCGGCAGCATAGCAATACCCTCCCTCCCCATCTCTACAAAAAAAGAAATTTAGCTGGATGTGATGGCACGTGCCTGTATTCCTAGGTACTCAGGAGGCTAAGGTGGGAGGATCATTTGTGCCCAGGAGGTTGAGCCTGTGGTGAGCCATGAGCACACCACTGTACTTCATTCTGGGCAACAGCGCAAGACCCTGTCTCTAAAAAACCCAAAAACAATCTTTGTTGACCCTTGAACTGTGCAGATCCTGTCATACATGGATCTTTTTTCAGCCAAAGTGGAATCAAAACTACAGTATTTGTGGGTTACAAAACCCGCTTCTCTGGAGGGTCGACTTTAGGTATTTGCTGGTTTCTCAGGGCCAACTGCAGGACTCAGCTGTGTGTGGATTTTGGTACCCTGGAACCAAACTCCTGCACATGCCAACTGTGTACAGAAACCAACTTGTGCCCTCATCTTTTTTTTGGCCATGAGTCTGACTTGTTGGGGGAGGCCACATATATTTGCCCTGTAGAATAACACACTTTATGTATTTTTCTGATTTCTTTCCTGTACTGTTGTTTATCTTGTTTATTTACTGTATTTTCAGTAAACTGAAAAGTAGATCTAAAAGTGCGAGTCAGTTTTGTCTAAACCAATAAATTCGAAGTAACTAGATTTGAAAATTCTAAGATTTTTTTCAAGTATTGAAGAATATCCATAGAAGTATATGTTTGGCTTTTTTGTTTTTTTGCAAATCAAACACATTTGTGTAGCCAGCATCCAGATCAAAAATCAAAACATTATCAACATCCCAGGAGCGCCCTTCGTGCTTTTCTAATCAGTGTGCCTCCCATCCCCAAAGCCAGCCAGTGCCCCTAGTGAAAAAACTATATTATTGAAAATAAAAAATGATAATTTTTTTTGAAATTTTACAGTTAAAGTTGATTCATCTGAAAGGGTAAATGGATTGTTCAGTAAATGAGAATGGGACAGCTAATCGCTTAGGGGTAAAGCTGACTTTGTTCCTTATTTTTGTATCAGATAAAGTCTAGGTGGATCAAAACATAAAATACAAATGGAATTGGACTTACAACCGTATGGTTACAGGTCCTTTGTACATTCCCTATGGAGATAATTATCCTAAGTGTAAATAAAGAGATACAATCTTTTTTTTTTTTTTTGGAGACAGTTTTGCTCTTGTTGCTTAGGCTGGAGTGCAATGGCACGATGTTGGCTCTCCGCAGCCTCCACCTCCTGGGTTCAAGCGATTCTCCCGCCTCAGCCTCCTGAGTAGCTGGGATTACAGGCATGCGCCACCATGCCTGGCTAATTTTGTATTTTTAGTAGAGATGGGGTTTCTGCATGTTGGTCAGTCGAACTACTGACCTCAGGTGATCTGCCCACCTTGGCCTCCCAAAGTGCTGGGATTACAGGCGTGAGCCACCACACCCGGCAAAAAAGGGATCTATTCTAATAAGATCAGAATAATTTCCAAGAACACGCTATGACCAACTGATTTAGCCTGTCAGATAGGTAAATATTGTTCCTGCATTTACAATATAAGCATTTTTATGCCTCAATTTGGAAAAAAAAAAGCAAATTTTTATTTATTTACAGAATAACCCAAGGAACCTAATTTAGGTAATCTTGATAAGATGATAAGATTTATATATTTTACTTATTTTTTTCCTTTTAGACGAGTTATGTGTTGAAGCACTTTGTCGGATGGAACAAGCCAATTGCTCCTTTCAGGTGTTTGACAAACATCCAGGGATCTATTTGTTTTTGGTCCATCCCAATGATATGGTGAGTATGAGTGTTGGGTGATAGAAGGATATATTGTACTTTTGTACCTATAGATAGCTATAATAGAGGTTTTTGGTGCAGATTTTGTTTAAAATGTTTGCTAAAATTTTTCTTGTTCTAAAATTTACTGCAGTTAAGTAGAGGGTGTTGTGGGGTCAAAGAAGAGGGGATCTGAGAGGGTAGGGGATACTTACCGACAGGTGATGCTTGAGCTTAAAAGGCAAACGAGGCTGGGCGCGGTGGCTCACGCCTGTAATCCCAGCACTTTGGGAGGCCGAGGCGGGTGGATCACAAGGTCAGGAGATCAAGACCATCCTGGCTAACAAAATACAAAAAGTTAGCTGGGCGTAGTGGCGGGCGCCTGTAGTCCCAGCTACTCAGGAGGCTGAGACAGGAGAATGGCGTGAACCGGGGAGGCAGAGCTTGCAGTGAGCCGAGATTGCGCCACTGCACTCCAGCCTGGGCGACAGAGTGAGACTCCATCTCAAAAAAAAAGACGAGTGGAAATAACTTGATGTTCTTTCACTATGTTGAATTGAACTCAAGAAGATCTCTTCTCTTGACTTCTCACCTGCTTGTCCCACTGCAAACACGTGGAGATACCGGTTAAAACATTTGAAAAGTTATTTTACTCATAGATGAGAATTAGAACAAGGGAAGGCAGGGACGGGGACTGGGAAATTCTGGTGCTAGAAGTGAAGAAGGACAAAAGCCAGAACAGTGAGCAGGAATAGAAGCAGGTAGCATTGAAACCTGACATAGCCCTATGGCTAAGGTTTGAGATCTTGTCACCTTTTGTGGTAAGACAGTCTGTACTTCAGGTCTCATGCCTAATGCCACCTAGAACTGAGTGACTACTTTAAGCCAGTAGCCAGGAAGGGCTGCTCTGCCAATGTAAAGCAAGAAAAATGATTTTTTTTAAAAAAAGCATGGTAATGGGATTGTCAGTCAAGATAATGGTGAATTTCAGTTTCCTCTGGGCCAAACACATACCAATGATATAAAAAAATGCAAACGGAGGAAATTAAAGAAGTATAATCACTTTCCTCCAAAGGAAAACTTACTTCTGTGGACCAGCAATGGAACAGAAACCTAAAGTAGTAAGTGAGTGGAAACCTGTAGGCCTGGGTGGCAGTGGGTAGCTGGGGATTCAGCTTGTGCAGGACAGCAGGAATTAGAAGCATACTCCAGGCAAGGCAAAGAACCAAAGCCAAACTCCGCACTCCAAACAAGGGGCGGATGGGGGTGCTCCTCTGCCTGTGAAAGAAGGTTGCCAAAGTATTAAAAAGGTTCACTGGCTTTTTAAAAGCTGTGTACATATGGAGGAAGCAGGTCTGGTCTTGTAACCAGGGCCTGGGCCAAGCACTTGCAGCCTTGGTGACCGAGTCTACCTAGTCCTTAGGTGACCAAAGGTTGGGAGTCCTGGGCTGCTGATAGTAGACCTGGTTCTGGAGCAGGACTCTGAAGGATGGATAGAGACCAGCCCAAATTTACATTTAGGAAGGGGAGGGATAGTGGTAGGAGGGACACAGAATTCCTCCCTGTCAGATGAGTTTGCAAACCAAATCCCTGAAACACGTGAAGAAAGCGTGTGCTCTGACACAGAATGAAGACCAGCGCTATCGGTCCTTTCCCTAGGTTTAACTCTAGAGGAACTTGAAAGAGAAAATGGAGAACATTGAGAGAAACTCTGAGTTGACAAGGGCTGGTTTATTTAAAACAATTTTTTTTTATTACTGTTTTTTAGTTTTTGAGACAGAGTCTCACTCTGTTGCCCAGGCTGGAAGTAGAGACAGGGTTTCACCAGGTTGGCCAGGCTAGTCTCGAACTCCTAACCTCAAATGATGCACCTACCCTGGCCTCCGAAAGTGCTGGGATTACAGGTGTGAGCCACCACGTCCAGCTGACAAGGGCTGTTTTGAAAGGTGAATGTGGGAGATGGGGAAGAGAACATCCTTAGTTTGTGAATTCCTTTTCACTCTGGGGTATTGGGTCCTATCAGGGAGTACCTGTGGGAGGTACTATGGAATTATCTCTGAGAGCATTCTCCTACAGCCCGAGAATAAAATGGGCTGTGGGAGAATAAAGTAGAAAAGGAACTGTTAAGGTTCTGCTTCCAGTTCTTCTTCACCATTGCCTTAGATGAATAAAACCTGCATTCAAATCTGTTCTCAACTAAAAGATCCGATCCAGCTGAAGGTGGCATTGAAATCAGGACAGTGGATAACCCCTGATGTTTGTGAGGCACTGAGACAAGCAGGTGGAGACCAATTAACCGCTGATGATTGCTTCAGTATCATCCCCTCTCAACCCCAGGACTTGGGGGATTATAGCCCAGTAGTGTCTTCTAATGCTGCTTCTCCCTGGGAGTGATCACTCATGTCAGTGAGTGATTACGTTTTTCTGGCTTGGATTTTATCCACTGCTCAGCTCTGAATTGATTGGGCATAAGCCAGTCTGGAGTCTGGCCTTCCACAGGCACCACCTGACAGGAGCTAGTACCCCAGAGTGAAAGGGAATTCACAAACTAAAAATAATAGACACATGAGAAACATAAAGATTTCAGTAGAAGCTGATATATTAGAATACTTGTACAGTAAACTTAAAATTATTATAGTAAACATGCTAGAAGAAATACAGGAAGATACTAATGTGAAATGAGAACTAGAAAACGTGAGAACCAACAAACCTGCACATTGTGCACGTGTACCCTAGAACTTAAAGTATAATAAAAAAAAAAAAAAGAAAATGTGAGAACCAAGCCAAGTTGTAAGATTGAAAAATGAGATATTTAGGAGACTTCAGGAGATGGGATAAATAATATAGTGGGTACAGCCAAGAGAACTGAATTAGAAGACCAGGTTGGCAAATCCCTAAGAAGAAAAAAAGAAATAGAAAGTATAAAAAGAAAAGCTACAAGATAAATGGAGGGTAGAAGTAGTAGTGTTAACAAAGATGTAAAACGTCCCAGAAAGAGAAAATTAAAAATCAGGACAAAGAAATACTGGAGATAGGGCTGGGCACGGTGGCTCACACATGTAATCCCAGCACTTTGGGAGGCTGAGGTGGGTGAATCATCTGATGCCAGGAGTTCGAGACCAGCCTGGCCAACATGAGGAAACCCTATCTCTACTAATAATACCAAAAAATTAGCCAGGTGTGGTGGTGCATGCCTGTAGTTCCAGCTACCTGGGAGGCTGAGGCAGGAGAATCGCTTGAACCTGGGAGGCAGGGGCTGCAGTGAGCCGAGATAGTGACATTGCACTCCAGCCTGGGCAGCAAGAGCGAAACTCCATCTCACAAAAGGAAAGTTGTACTATATGGAAAGAGAAATTAGATCCCTACCTCATTATCATTCATAATGACAAAATCTGTCTAAAAAACCATAATGAGGTTCAGTTTTCAAACTCTTCGCAGGAAATAGAGGTGTATAGTGTTTAGATTGTAAGGTGAGGAAGGTTTGTTTTATTTTTTTGAGACAGGGTCTTGGCCTTGTCACCTAAGCTGGAGTACAGTGATGTGATGACAGCTTACTATAATCTCTGCCTCCCAGGCTCAAGCATTTCACCAAAATCTCCTGCCTTGGTCACCATGCCCAGCTAATTTTTTGTAGAGATGGGGTTTTGCTGTGTTGCCCAGGCTGGTTTCGAACTCCTGGGCTCAAGTGCCCTGGCATCTCCCAAAGTGTTGAGATTACATGCGTGAGTCACCACGCCTGGTCTGAGGAAGGGTTTTGTAAAAACGAAAGCATTAATTATGAAAGGAAAGTTGATGAACTTGACTATATTAAAATGAAAAGTTACTGTTTCTCAAACAACACCATTAAGAGAGTGAAAATACTAGTTAAAAATTGGGAAAAGGCCTGGGCATGGTGGCTCATGCTCGAAAGCCCAGTACTTTGGGAAACCAGGGCCGGAGGATTGCTGGACGCCAAGAATTCAAGACCAGCCTGAGCAACATAGCAGGAACCTATCTTTACAAAAAAAATTTTTTTTATTAGCTGGGCATGGCGCTGCACACCTGTAGCCCTAGCTACTCAGTAGGCTAAGTTGGGAGGATCACTTGAGCCCAGGAGGTTGAGGCTGCAGTGAGCCCTGATCATGCTGGCGCACTCCAGCCTGGGCAACAGAGTGAGACTCTTTCTCAAAAAAAATTAAAAAATCGGAAGAAGATAATCATATTATTAATAATACGAAAAAAATGGGTGAAGAGCTGAACTGAACAGTCATGTGCCAGAAGAGAAACTACTAATAGCTAATAAATATGTGAAGGAGTGTTTTATATTTAATGATCAGAGAAATAATAAGACCACAATGATACACCATTTTATATTTGTGTGATAGCCTGAGAATACAATTTTGGAGAGGTCATAGATTTGCAAAATCTCTTGTTACTGCTGGTAAGAGGTCTTGTGTTTAGCTGTCATGTCCATTTAGTCCTCTTTAATCTGGAACATTTCATTGTCTTTCATGACAATTACTTTTCTGAAGAACACAGTCATTCCTGCTCTGTCTCTTTTTAAAAAAATAAGTGAGGCTGGGCATGGTGGCTCACGCCTGTAATCCCAGCACTTTGGGAGGCCAAGGTGGGTGGATCACAAGGTCAGGAGTTCGAGATCAGCCTGGCCAGCATGGTGAAACCCCATCTCTACTAAAAATACAAAAGTTAGCCGGGCGTGGTGGTGCGCGCCTGTAATCCCAGCTACTTGGGAGGCTGAGGTAGGAGAATGACTTGACCCTGGGAGGCGGAGGTTGCAGTGAGCCGAGATTGTGCCACTACATGCCAGCCTGGGTGACAGAGCAAGACTCCATCTCAAAAAAAAAAAAAAAAGGTGTTCCTCACTTTGGGTTTGTCTGATGTTTCCTCATGCATAGGTTCAGGTTATACATTCCCAACTGGAGTACCATGTAAGTGATGTTACTGTCCTTCTCACCTTGTCATACGTAGAGAGAGGCACGCCATGTCCTTTGCAACTCATGGTGATGTAAATTTTGAGCTTTCTGTGAAGATGTCCCATTTCTCTACTGTATAATTTCTATCGTTTAGATACTTTAAGACCATGTAAATACTCTACATTTCACCAAAATCTCCACCTAAATTTAGCATTCATTCATGTGTCTTGGCCTGAACCAGTTTTTCTATCATGATTGCAAGATGGTAATTTCCTAACTCCAGCACTCTCCATGTTTACTAGTTACCACTTGACATTGTACAGTAATCAAGAGCTTTTTTCCCTTCTACCACTTATCAGTAAGAACTCATGGATTCCAAAACTTTTTCAGTAGTTTATAATTTGTTACTTATGTTGGCATAGAGCTCATGTGGGGGTCTGTGTTTTTCCAACTGTTTGACTACAATCTGTAGTAAAAAAGTATACGTGTGCCTATATAATGTATTTTGTAAAATAATAGTTTTACTATGAAGGATGCACTCGATATTTTTGTTTTATTTAGTTTATTTTTTCTTAAGGCTGGTTGTGAGCACTAAATTTAATTCATAGCCTCCAAGAAATTTAAAATCACTTCTTTATGCTATTTTGCCATTTAGAAACGGCCTTTGATTTCTTTTGAGATTCCTCATTTTGTGTTTTCTTTCCTTTTTTGAACATTCTGTTATGGAAAGTGATAAACATAAAAGTAGCGAGAATGGTGTAATGAACCCCTCATAATCCATCAGTTAGCTTTATCAATACATAGTCAACATTCCACTCCCCTTTGGATTAGTTTAGAGCAAATCTTAGACATCAGAGCATTTCGTCCACAAAATATTTCAGTATGTATTTCTAAAAGGTAAGGACTTAAAAAACCCGAAAAATATTGTATATATATTTTTTGATATGGAGTCTTACTCTGTCGCCCAGGCTGGAGTGCAGTGGTATGATCTTGGCTCACTGCAACCTCTCTCTACCAGGTTCAACCAATTCTCCTGCTTCAGCCTCCCAAGTAGCTGGGACTACAGGAGTGCACCACCATGTCCAGCTAATTTTTTTGTATTTTTAGTAGAGACTGGGTTTTGCCTTGTTGGCCAGGCTGGTCTTGAACTCCTGACCTCAGGTGATCTGCATGCCTCAGCCTCCCAAAGTGCTGAAATTACAGGTGTAAACCACTGTGCTCGACCAGAAAAATACTATTACTGCATCTAAAAGAATAATTCCTTAATGTTGTGTTGCCAGGCAGTGTTTGAATGAATGGAAAGGATTGTCTCAAACTGTTTATTAGGACTTGTATGTTCAAATCAGGATCGAAGAAGGTCTACAGGTTGCATTAATTAGTATCTCACATGTCTTTTAAAATCTGCGGAGAATCCTGTTTTCTTATCCATGTTCTTACTGTATGTAGACCATTGTTTTTTGAATTAAGTAATAAACATACTGTGTTCTGCATTTAGGTTCGGCGTTGGGCTATCTTGACTGCAAGAAACTTGGGGAAAGTGGACAGAGATGATTATTATGACTTACAAGAAGTTTTAATTTGCCTTTTTAAAGTCATTGAGTTGGGACTTCTAGAGAGTCCAGACATTTATACTTCTTCTGTCCTAGAGAAGGGTAAACTAATTCTTCTGCCCTCACACATGTATGATACTACCAACTACAAAAGCTATTGGTTAGGTGAGTATTGTTCCTACACTAATATACTTAGTATTTTCATATAGTTCTGCTTTTTGAGACAGAGTCTCACTCCGTTGCCCAGGCTGGAGTGCAGTGGCACCATCTCCACTCACTGCACGCTCCACCACCTCCCAGGTTCTAGCAATTCTCCTGCCTTAACCTCCTGATTAGCTGTGATTACAGGGGAATGCCACCACACCTGGCTAATTTTTTGTATTTTTAGTAGAGACAGGGTTTCACCATGTTGGCCAGGCTGGTCTTGAACTCCTGACCTCAAGTGATCCGTTTCAGCCAAGTTGTTGGCCAGGGTGTCTTGAACTCCTGACCTCAAGTGATCTGCCCACCCCAGGCCTCCTAAAGTGCTGGGATTACAGGCGTGATCACGCGGCCCCGGCGCCTGTAGTTCTTGATTGTCCTAAAAGGGAAGTGTTCTCTTTTGGTAATCTGAAAAACTTGCTAAAGATAGGGGATTGTATAGTTCCCAGGTTCTTATTTCGCTGTCATTTAATTTGACTTTACTATTACATACCTGTTTTAAACAGTTTATTTATATCCTAGAAAACTTTTGTGTGAGTAAGAGGTACATTTAAGACTGACCAAATGAATGAATCTGTTTAAGGGACACATTTTATTAAACAAGCATAGTTAGTGTAATAGTTGGCTTTTTTAATAGAGTTTGATTGTTAACACTCCCTTTTCCAGTGTGTATAAACTTCCATTGGTAGAACCGGGCCAGTGGCACATGCTGTTAAGGTCCACACCAGCACTTGGGAGGCTGAGGTGGAAGATCTTTAGCCAGGAATTTGTGAAGCTTGCAGTGCAGCTAGGATTGCTGCCCCTGCCACTCACCAGCCTGGGGTGGAAGGAGGAGGATCCTGCTCTCTTAAAACAGTATTAAAATTTTCCTGGTAGAAAGAATTGTCAGCGTTTGTTTCACAAGTTGCCTATAGTGGCTTCAAAATACCTTTTTTTTTTTTTTGGGAGACAGGAGTCTTGCTCTGTGTTGGTCCAGGCTTGGGTGTTAGTGGCGGCTGTTGCTCGGCTCACTGCAAAGCTTACCTGCCTGGAGTTCACACCATTCTCCTTGCCTCAAGCCTCCCTGAGTAGCTGGGACCACAGGGCCCACCGCGCCACCGACGCCCAGCTAATTTTTTTGTATTTAGTTAGAGGGACAGGTTTCAACCTGTGTTAGCCAGTGATGGTCTCGATCTCCTGATCTGTGATCTGCCCGCTCAGCCTTCCCAACAGGTTGCTGGGATTACAGGCATGAGCACCAGGCCGGCCTAAAATACTGTCTATACCTTTTCCTTGATTTCCAGATCTTAGGTCACGGTCGTTAACTTGGCAGATGGTTTGTTTGGTTATGAGTGGTAATATGGAGTATGACATCTTAATTTGAAGCTCGCGGTATATTGATGAAACGATATGATGGTTATTATTTGCTTAGAATGGTAAACTTTGTACTGGACGCTACTTAATTGTGTAGGTAAAGTTCTGTTACTTGGCAGAAGCGAACTAGAAGTGGTTGATATAAAATATCTCGTTCATCTTCCTGCCCGTGTTTTTCTTTGCAAAGGGCACTAAAGGCCAGGCATTAGCATAGTTTGTTCATCAATTCAAAGCAACGTTAAATGATCTTAAATTGGCATGTGCGAACCATGTTGAGGAGGCAGGCGAAGGATTGCGATCAAGTGTTGTGTGTTGTGTGCGAAATCGGGGTTAGACAGCGTGATGGAGAGCAACACATGT